TTATTGTTCCTCAGTGGGGAAAGCTAGACGTCACAGCAGCGATGACACGTATTACAGGAGAATAAAAAATAAGAAAAATGAATAAACAACATAAATCCTGAATAGATTTTAAAAATACTGATTATACCACAAGTAATGAATACCACTGATGTGTTTTATTTCAAACTGACTTGCTCGTGTGTAATTTGGTTATTCCACATTCAGTGTTAATGCAGAAATAAGTTTGTTTCCAAATTTAAAGGTTCAAAATTGCATATATGTTGATAAAGAAAATGTGCAAATTTGCCGTCACTTTTTCAAAAATATTAAGTTTGGCCCTCGACTCCGTCCCAGAGTTTCATTTTGGCCCCGTGTGAGTTTGAGTTTGACACCCCTGGCCTAGGTGGACTCAGAAACGACATACCTGTGGAGGCCGCATCGGGGACTGGAAGGAGGGGTGATGGGTGGTGCGCTTTCCTGGTTTGAACCAGTGAGTAGAATCCTGATATGGAGAAATGTTGGAGAGCGGGCCGGCTGAGCTTCCAGGCAGCGAAGAGCAGGATGGACCAGAAGATCCTTACGCTCCTCCAGGTGAGTTCTGTCGAGAAGGAGCTGCAGAGTGTCGTAAAACGACTAAATCAAGACAGAAACAGGCAACAGGAGAGGAAGAGTTCTGGATCACACCCAACAGGTAAGGAGCTGATGAGTATCAGGTGTGTTTGCTAGCAGGAGGAAGATCCCGCCCACTGGAGAACTACTACAAATCATGACTAACGGTAAAAATAGGTGGTGCCAAATTTACACATTTATTATGAGATTTTAAAGGGGCATTATGGAAGTTTGACAGCCAAAACATGTATAGAAATAATACATTTCTTCTTCATACATTCTCCTGCAATGCCCTGGTCCCGTAGAATGAGCCCTGGCATTTTTACTGTGATTGCCTGTTTTTCTGTAAAATCACAGAAAGAGAGCTGCTCGGGTCGAGCAGGCTGCTTCATGCGTGTTCACGCTCAGGCATAGCCCGTAGCATTTGCTATCCGTAGCTTTAGCAGCAGAGAGAGAGGCAGTGCCAACTCAGCGACTTTGTCGCTGTTCCTAACGCCTAGTGATGAACCTAGCTACATTTCTGAGGACGCTTAGCTACTTTCTGTAGAACTTTCTTCTAGATATTTCCTGCAAATTAGCAACAAAATAGCCATTTTTGCTCCGAACTGTTCTTTGAACGTTGTTTCAGCTGTCATCAAGGATATAAATGTTACAGATACAGGAGACTTTGCTGGCACTTTAGCTCACCTAGTAAGACGCAGGACTCTCGTGGAGAAGACCCGGGCTCGATTCTGAATGTGACCATAGTTATTTTAGAGTTTTTACATTGATGGTATAGTTTTTTTTTACAGTAAGATGCCCAAATTTTTATTTGAGACTCGCCGAACGGCATTGAATTCACAGATAAAAAAGATGTGGGTTCAACTTTCATTTTGGAACAATTTTTCAAGCAAGGGAAGGGAATGATCTGAGCATGCAGGAGGACTGACCCATCTTAAACCTTTGTCGGCTGTGCTGAAGAGAAAGGTACAGAACCAAATTATTTAATTAATTAGCTGCGCGTTCTCCTGTCCTCCGGGCCACACACACACGGGACTGTCTCAGCTGTTATTTTCATTAAGGAGTGTGCACATACAGCATGCGCACGAGCCTATTATTGAAGCTGCCGTTACGCTTTTGGCCTGAGGGGGCAATCGCGAGCATAAAAATTCAAAACTCTGTAAAGTCCCTTTAAGGGTTTTTTAGTTATTGAAGTTAAAACCCTATTTAATCTATAATGATTTAGAAGTTTTGTTTGTACGTCAATTTTTTTTTTACAAATCTCTTTTTTTCTGGGTTTTGGTAAAAAAAAATCAATATTCAGAAAGATCTGGTTTCAGTAAACAATGTTTTATCTTAATTTAGTTTTCTTACAAAGTTGAAAAGGTAATTCGTTTAGATTTGTGAGCAGAGGCGCATAGAAAATTTTGATTGGGGTGGCCAGATGGGGCCAAAGAAATTTTTGGGGTGGCACACCAAATTGGTCCTTGCGGTAACTCTGGGAGAGTTTAGCCTGTGGTGATGTGTTGCATTGCTCCTTTATTAGTTTTTATTAAAAATAAATAAATAAATAAAATGTTTGTATCCAAAACGTTTAACATAAAATTTACAAACACAAACATTCCAGAAAAATACATTTCAGTTATTTAAAATGTTATTCCAAATTTAAAATAAAAAGATTTTTTTGGTGAATTCACCTGTTGCTGTGTTCACAAAAACATATGGAGATAAAAAATAAATTTTAAAAGGGTGCGCATCAGAAACATGTATTTTTATTCAGATTATTTCTCTACTCATTAATTGTATTATTTCTGTTTTGTTTTACAATTATGTCTTCAATAAATAAGATCAATTTATGGTTTGACTGAACATTAATATGATTTATTAACACTGGCTTTTCCTGGGGGGGGGGGGGGGGGGGGGCTTGTTTGTGAGTTCCTGTTGATCCCAAATAGCTTCATGAACCAAAGTTCTAGCCTCAGGATGAAACTTTTATGGTCAACCGAAACATTATTTTACATGATTGAGAACAGATTTGTATTTTATTAAATACACATTAATGTTTATTAATAAACAAAATCATTATTATTATGACAGCATTTTCATGTTAAAATTGTGCAACATTTAGATGTTTTTGAGAAATACAGTTTATTCCAAATATATCCATCCATCCATTTTCATCCGCTTATCTGGAGTCGGGTCACGGGGGCAGTAGCCTAAGGTGAAAGGCCCAGACTTCCCTCTCCCCAGCCACTTGGGCCAGCTCCTCCGGGGGAATCCCAAGGCGTTCTCTGGCCAGGTGAGAGACATAGTCCCTCCACCGTGTCCTGGGTCTACCTTTAGGTCTACTCCCAGTTGGACGTGCCTGGAAAACCTCACCAGGGAGGCGTCCAGGAGGCATCCTTACCAGATGCCCGAGCCACCTCAACTGGCTCCTCTCAATGTGGAGGAGCAGCGGGTCTACTTTGAGCCCCTCCCGAATGACCGAGCTTCTCACCCTATCTCTAAAGGAGAGCCCAGCCACTCTTCTGAGAAAACTCATTTGGGCCTCTTGTATCCGAGATCTCATTCTTTTGGTCACTACCCAAAGCTCATGACCATAGGTGAGGGCAGGAACGTAGATCAACCGGTAAATCGAGAACTTCGCCTTCTTACTCAGCTCTCTCTTCACCACGACAGACCGGTACATCGCCCGCATCACTGCAGATGCAGCACCAATCCGCCTATTGATCTCACGCTCCAGTTTCCCCTCACTCGTGAACAAGACCCAGAGATACTTAAACTCCTCCACTTGGGGCAGGACCTCATCCCTGACCCGGAGAAGGCATTCTACCCTTTTCCGAATCAAGACCATGGTCTCAGATTTAGAGGAGCTGATTCTCATCCCAGCTGCTTCACACTCGGCTGTGAACCGCTCCAGCGAAAGCTGAAGATCATGTTCTGATGAAGCCAACAGGACCACATCATCTGCCAAAAGCAGAGACCTGATCCTCAGGCCACCAATAAATACATAAATAAAGAACCAAACCAGTAATTATATATTTTAATAAGTGGAAAAATGTAAAATTATAATGATTCATTATAGAATAAAGTCACTTACTCAGATGTTTTTTTTTTCATTGTTTTAAAGATAAAGCCTGGTTTAATTCAGCATTTCCATCTAGGAGCATTTGTCACCTTTGTGTTTATTTAATCACAACAGCTAGCAATTTTTCTGCTGCTTTTGATCCACCCTGTTCTTCTGATAACGACCCAGATTCCTTAACTTCTCAGTTTAACGAGCACTGCCTCTCCATTCTGGACAACATCTGTTCTGTCAGAACCAGATCAGTTCCTGCAGTGAACCCTACTCCCTGGTTTAAGGACAGCCTTCGCAGCCTGAAGCGCCAATGCAGAAAAATTGAGCGTTTGTGGAAGAAAACCCATCTCCACATCCATCTGCTGCACCTAAAGGATCTTCTGACATCCTTTAACTCTGCAGTCAGAGACGCTAGGGTTTCCTATTTCTCCAACCTGGTGTCCCAGAGCAAAGGGAACCCCAAGGTGCTGTTTAACACCATCAGCAGCATCGTCTCTCCTGCCTCTCCTACAGCCTCCATCCACTCTGTTACAGACTGTGAGAACTTTCTGTCTTTCTTTGTGGACAAAGTCAATAAGGTCAGATCTAGCATCTCTCCTTCAGCCTTATCGCCGCCTCTCCCGACTCCAACCAGGCCCATCATCCTAGATAGCTTTGCTCCTGTTTCTTTACCTGAGTTAACCCAACTAGTTAACTCTATGAAGACCTCTGCATGCCCCCTCGACATCTTACCCTCATCTTTGTTTACATGGACAAGCACCATCTTACATTGGTGATCTTCTTAGTCCCTACACCCCCAGCAGGTCCCTGAGGTCCAGTCATCAAAGCCTAGTTGTGCAGCACCAGGCTAAAGACCAAAGGTGACAGATCATTTGCTGCTGTGGCCCCCAGACTCTGGAACTCTCTCCCCCTGAGCCTGAGATCAGTGGACTCAGTGGTCTCCTTTAAAAAGCAGCTGAAGACTCACTTATTCAAGCTGGCTTTTGTATGACCTTCTTCACCACTCTCTCTTTATTCTGCTCTCCCCACCTATTCCACCTTCCTCAGGATCCACTGATTTCCCTCATTCCTAGTCACTCTCTCTTTCTCTTTCTTAATTTTTTTTAATCACAGCTGTCTTTTTGCTCATTTTAAATATACTTTTAACCATTGTCTAAATACGTTTTTTTTTTACTTTTTTTTTGAAGCGCCTCGTGATTTTTATCTTGAGAGGCGCTGTAGAAATGATATTTTCTTCTTCCAACAGGTTGACTGCGTTGTTTACCAAGCACGTGTCGCGCGGTCAGCTGACGTCACCGTCACGGTTGCCAGCAGCAGATCTGAGCTGAGAGCTGCGCAGCCGCCATGCGCATCCGTCAGCTGAGCAGAGCTGGACGGCGCAGCCATTTCTCCGCTCCTCACGGACAAACAGAGGAAAACATGCAGCTGGTTTGCTTTGGACCGCCACGCACGCTGCGTGCACATGTTGCGGCCGTAGCTGCGTGACTTCTGGCTGAAACCCGCATCCCTGATCGCAGAACGGCGAGCCGAAAACTTTCCTCCCTCCGATCTGCGCAGAAGCTGTCGCCTTCGCCTTCCACCATGGAGGCAAACCTGCAGGGAGGAGACGTCTCAGCGATGCACGTGAAGACTGAAGCCGCGGAGGAGAGCTCATCTGCGCCGCTTGTGGGCAGCCAGGAGTCGCCTGCGCCCTGCGGAGATGGCGCATGCAGAGGAGGAGGATTGCAACAGACTGCGGAGGAGCTGACTGAGGAGCTGCAGGCCGCCCCCACTGCTCCCCCTGTTCTGCTGTGTGAGTTCTTGTACAATAAAACAGTGCCGAAGGAAATCTGAGGTTGCATGTCTGAAGGTTCAAGTTTCCTCCTCAGACCCTGTGAGCTCTGATCGGTTCTTCACCACCTCAGCAGACGGAAAAACATACCTGAAGATAGCTCCAGGTAAGGTCATGTTAGGAGCTGGACCTCCTGCTGCAACTCAGAATCTGATCCCAGTCATGCTTTCTGAATCTTTTCATCAGCATGGGGCTCAGTTCGTTACAATAACACCTTCCAAAATAGCAATAAAAAAATCTTGAAGGCCACTCAAAAACATAGGTCCAAAACTGTTTTCATCACTTAAGAAAAATCTCCAAACTGTGAAAGTTGGTGTCAAAACATGAACTTGAAATGGTTCTCCATGCCTTTATCTCTTCCCGTATAGATTACTGCAACACACTCTTCACATGTTTTAACAAAACAGCCCTTGATCTCCTTCAGTTGGTCCAGACTCTGCAGCGAGGCTCTTAACTGGAGCAAACAGAAGAGCACACATCACTCCTATTCTGATGTCTCTGCACTGGTTACCCGTTAACTTTAGAGTTCATTTTTGAATCCTGGTTATAACTTTCAAAGCTCTACATGGTCAAGCTCCTCCCTATATTACTGAACTGTTAAAGCCTTATGCTCCAACCCGCCAGAACCTTCTAGAAGTTCCAAAGACCAGATATAAAAGTCCAGACTGTTGCACCCCGACTTTGGAGTGTTTTTCCTTATAAAACAGCTAAAGACCCTTTTATTTAAAGCTGCTTTGACCTAAACCTTTTATTTTCTCATTCAGATTTGTAATTATATTTCATCTGTTTCATGATATTTTACTTTGTTTTTCTGATTTAATTCATTTCTGTTTTAGTGTGACTTTACGTTTTGTTTTTGAGCTGTGTGAAGCACTTTGTGATCTATCTTTTCTTATTTTTAACTCATTTGTAATCATCTTTCATCTGTTTAAGAAATTTTATAATTTTATGACCTTATTTTTTCTGATGTGAATCTATTTTTATGATTTTATGACTTTATTGTGTTTTGATCTATGTGAAGCCCTTTGTGATTGTGATAAGAGTGATATAAATAAAACATACTTTCTTAAATTCATTTTAAAGAGTCAAAAATACACATTTAGAATCAAATGTAAAGTTGACGATACATTTAATAATAATACTCGAAATCAGTCTATTTAGCCAACACACAAAGTTTGACTTGGATGTAGATTTAATAACAGCAAGGTGAAGAGATTCCCAGTCTTCTTGGTCAGAATATTGTGAGAATCTGTATATATAGTGTCCCTATCTGGATTCTCCATGTAGGTTAATAAAAGACCGGAAAACCTCAGGCAGGGCATCTCTTGGCCCTGATTTTATTTGATGCGTTGGATTAATTCTACGGGAGTCTGATTTTGTTTATGAGCTAACTTTTTAGTCCCCCATATTTATTGGTTTGCCCTCGAAGGATGTTTCATGTGTACCAGTAAACATAAATCTACAAATGACAGTTAAGTGAGGAACAGATTGAACTTTTGCGCCAACGTATTTCACACAGAAGCCTAAAAGGTCACCTTTGTTCTGTCCCAGCTGCAGTGCTCCCACCTGCTCCAGGAGAGAAGACTCTTTCCACTGGCTCAGATTTTTCCTCCAAAGCTGTTCTGTGTCTGATCGAAGCTGTCGGGCGCCGCTGGGGCCTGTATGAGACTCGGGAACGCTCACAGCTCTTCCAGAGCGTCCAGGAAGAGATGGCCTCAAAGGGCCACATCCTTCCTGTGGAAAAGATCCGCCGCAAGTGGAACAACCTCATTGTCACGTACAAGAGGGTCAAGGACCGCAGCCGGGAGACGGGGCACGCCAAGACCTCCTGGGAGTTCTTTGATGTAAGTCAGGAAGAGATGCTTGTGGCTAGGACCTGACTGACTTCTCTCAGGGTGGATGCACCATTGAGTAGATCTTGAAAAGACTTGAAAATAACAAAAAAAAATGCCGAAAAATAGCTTTTCTACTACTTGACTTAAGCAAGTCGGTTCCCACAGATTTGTGTATGCTTGTAAAGATTATTAAAACGGTGCATTTGGGTGCAATCCGACGGTTTACAGATAAGTAAATGAACCAGGGCAAATCCATACCACAGCTGACCAAATATACCAACGAGACAGAGCCAGATTTGAAGGAAAACTGAATGGGGACAGCTCGTACCCCACCACACACGGCAATGAAACCAGTTTTGGTCCCACAGTGCGTGGAGTCTGGCCACACGGCTAAAACTACACTGACATTCCCAGATCAGACGGGAAATCTTGCAAATTCTCTCCACATCAACTGTAACTTCAGGTGAAACTAGGGCGTTATCAAAATTTCTGACTCTTATCGAGATAATTTTTCTCATGTCAATAAATTTGATAATAAAGAAATAAAAAGATGTGTGTAGGTTGCCAACATTCACTTAAGATGCTGTACCACCTTAAGTCACGTGGCAGCCCCATCTAGTGGACAACCTTGTTTATGCGCATACCTGTAGTTATCGTCCATTTATCGTTATCGAGGTCGTCGTCGTCTTCCCCCACTTATCCGGGTCGCGGGGGCAACATCCCAGCTAGGGAGCTCCAGACCGTCCTCTCCCCGGCCTTCTCCACCAGCTCCTCCGGCAGGACCCCAAGGCATTCCCAGACCAGATTGGAGATGTAACCTCTCCAACGTGTCCTGGGTCGACCCGGGGGCCTCCTGCCGACAGGACATGCCCGAAACACCTCCCCGGGGAGGCGTCCAGGAGGCATCCTGACCAGATGCCCAAACCACCTCAACTGACTCCTTTCGAGCCAGAGGAGCAGTGGTTCTACTCCGAGTCCCTCCCGAATGTCCGAGCTTCTCACCCTATCTCTAAGGCTGAGCCCGGCCACCCTACGGAGGAACCTCATTTCGGCCGCTTGTATCCGCAATCTCGTTCTTTCGGTCATTACCCAAAGCTCATGACCATAGGTGAGGATTGGGACGTAGATCGACCGGTAAATCGAGAGCCTGGCTTTCTGGCTCAGCTCCCTTTTCACCACGACAGATCGGCTCAGCGTCCACATCACTGCAGATGCCGAACCAATCCGCCTGTCGATCTCCCGATCCCTCCTACCCTCACTCATGAACAAGACCCCGAGATACTTAAACTCCTCCACTTGAGGTAGGACCTCTCTCCCGACCCGGAGTTGGCAATTGTCATTATCGAGGTGAAATCCTCAATGTATCATGATATTGATTTTAGGCCCTGTGTTAAACAAAGATGTGGTCCAGTTCTTCAGAGCCCAGGTGATGCCTTGTTTCTGCTGAGTGGATAGGAGCGAGCTGGTCTGAAATTTTATGATCCAGCGTATTCAGGAGAGCATTTCCACCACCAGTTAGACCGTTACTGAGCAGGTGGGGTTAAATCTGAGGACCTAGCCTGGTGTCATATGCAAGACGAAAGGTCCCTCAGCACATGTCCAAGTTTGCCAGAGACCATCTGGATGATCCAGAGGAAGATCAGGAGAATGTCATGTGGTCCGATGAGACCTGCGTTTGAAGGGGGAAGAATACGGAGTTGCATTGCATCCCAGGAATACCATACCCACTGTGAAGCATGGGGGTAGAAACATTATGCTTTGGGGCTGCTTTTCTGCAATTCGTAAAGAACAAAAAGTATGAATTGAGCCATGTATCATAAAATTTTGGGTTAAAACATCTTTCCATTAGTGAGGACATTGAAGATGAAATGTGGCTGGATCTTACAGCTCCCGAATACACGGTGCAATGAAAAAGTGGCCATGCAAAAAGCATCTCAAGGTTCTGGGCCTTCATTTATCAACCGTACTTAAACACAGATCTTTGTGTGTTTCAGGCATAGGAGCAATTATACAGAATGTGTGGTATTCATCATTTTGTAGTTGTGCAAGCAAATGTTCCTAAACATAGGAAAATCTCACACCATGCGTACGAACGGGGGAACCGCAATACTCAAGGTGTCGGTGGTTCACACATGTTCCTCATCCATAAATTTTTGTATTTAATAAATAATTATGTCGGTGGAGAATCAGCTTTATCACATTGCTAGTGTTACATCATGTAAGATACACTTTTGACCAATAGGAATGTGATGTTGCAGCATGGCTGATCTCGTGTAATTGGAGGATTTGGCAGAGTGTGCACTCTGGAGGGAACGCATCTTCTGTTAGCACAAAGATACTGCTTACTGAAGGAGATCTTTCTGGTGCTAGGCTGTGATTTGGGTCATTGTGGAGCAGCAAACAAACCACATGAATCTGATATCAATCCATATTCGACTTAACCACACCGTTCCACTGTCCTAGGGACCAAAATCAAAGCCCAGGAGTGGCGCAGTTTGGTTGTATGGGTTGCTTTTCCAATGAAAACAGACAAGATAGCATACTGAACCAAGTCAGTCAGTGAAAACAAGACAAAAGAAGCAGCAGCAGCTTTAGATCTACTCTGCTGGGATTGGACCTCCCATTGAAAGATATTCACTGATGATCAACCGATCTCTGTTTAACAAAATCCATTTTTTTTATGCACAGCTCTTCATTTCTGGTCTGTTGTTTCTCACTCTAGCTGATGGACGCCACTCTCTGTGACACTATTGGCACACAGATCATCAACAACAAAAGAAACAAAGGTGGCACGAACGCATCGGCACAGCCTGGTCCTTCGACAAAGATCACCTCAAAGCCGGGGCAACTCCCTCCGCCGACGACCATCGTCCATCCGACTGGTGACTTTTCCACAACTGGTGGTGCTGAACCAGCAACCAGCCAAGTCATCAACAGCACAGCTGCGAGTACCTCACAGAGTGCAGCAACCATCAGTGCAGTTAAAGCTCCAGAGCTCAAGCCTCTTATTGTCCTCAATGGTGACGTTGCCAGTAGTCAGCCAGCCACAGTTGTCCCAGCTTCTACTTTTATCTCCTCGCCTTGTTTTACAGAAACAACCTCCACCTCTTCTTCTCTTGTCTCAACCAGTAGCACAGACCTCACCGTGCCGAGCTACAAAAGTCGGAAGACTTCATCCTTCACATCTGGGCTCATACCTTTTTGTCTTAGTACAGCGCCACTTGGTCATAATCCTAATGTCCTCGGACTTTCTTCCTTGCCACCAACTTCCTCCTGTCACAATCCTTCCATTGCCTCCTCCTTATCTCCATCAGTTCTCCCTGGCATCGAGGAGCAGGGGCAGAAAGGAAACAAGGAGCAAACCAGCATCACTTTGTTCCAGGAGATCCTAAAGCGGCAGGAGGAGCAGGCTTACCTTGATCGAGTGACTCGGCGCAGGGTGGAAGCCAGAGAGAAGAGGCGTGAGAGGAGGGAGGTGCGGATGGCTGAGTCCCTCGGGCGGATAGCCACAGCCTTGGAGCTGCTGTCCTCCAAGCAGGACACCGTCATTGCTCTCCTGCAGAGGCTGGCTGATCGGAAGTGAGGCTTTAAGGTGGGAATGCTGCATCTTTGCTGCTACTGTGACCGTCACATAATGGCAGACATTTTATCTCTCCGTAGATTGATGTAAAAGTATTGACATTTGTTCTCCGCGTTATTTGGGATGCATTAAATTTGCTGTGAACACACACACACACACACACACACACACACACACACACACACACACACACACACACACACACACACACACACACACACACACAATAAATGTTAGGGTAACATATTTGTGCCCATGTTAGCCTCACTGGGAGCAACACAAACTGGTGTAAGTCTGATGTTCTTGTTTGAGTCAATAAAGAGCTTTGTCACATCAAATAACTGAATAAATGTGAGCTTCCTTCCCAAGCTGCTTAAATGCATCATCTAACATACACTCCCAGTACTCCTGTTCCGCTGTTTGGGATCTAATCAGCCAATCAGACTGCACCAACTTAGATGTGGTAAAGAGGAGTCAAAGTTCATACTGACCATCAGAAGGGAGAAGAAAGAGGATTGAAGTGAGTTTGAACTGGGATTTTCACCTCCAACCATCTCTAGGGACCACAGAGGATGGTGTGAAAAAGAAAGTATCAATTCAGCCTCAGTTGTGTGAATGAAGATGTCTTGTTCAGGGTGGAGGAGACTGGTCAGACTGGTTCCATCCAAGGTCTGCAGAACGGCATCTCTGATCCTTTAAGCTGATGGACGCCAGCAGCAAAGGCCTGTTCCAGTTGAGTCGTGGCACCAAGTTAAAAGTATAATATTTTTTTAGGAATATTTATGCCGGCTGTTTCCTACTAGAGATTAAAATTTTATGATGGTAAAGAATAGATTATTACAAATGTTCAAATCCTGAAGCTACGGACTGTTTTGGCCACTAGAGGGCAAAACCTCTCTGTAAATCACAGCAACCTTCTGTCAGGTTTTAAACCCTTTAAGTGTCTTAAAGAGCAAAATGCAGGTAAAAATATTTTTCTAATTCAAATAAAATGCTGTCCAAAAATACTATTTAAAAATCTTATTGTGGATATTTCATTTAACAGCAGAGTTATTCTAGTAAAAAGTGGCCTTTCTCAGCAAAGCTTCTAAAAAGGCTCTTTTTTTTCTAAATCTGAACCTCTGATGTAACCAAAGGGAGTTAGAAGCTAGGCTGCCTCCGCTCAGTGTGGAGAGGCTAGTTTTAGGGTAGAGGTCATGTGATCCAGTCAGTGTGTGTGTTTTGTTGGATTGTGTTCATGTTGATAAACTAGAGTGTGTGAAGGCTGTACCAACTCCAGCCTGTCTGGACATCGAGTCCACGGGTTTCCAGATAAAAGAAACAGCGCCTCTATCTCCGTGCCTGAGGGCGTATTGTGCAGCTGAGAAGACGGGACTTCTGTAGCCCACATTGGTCGGTACCGGGTCAGGGAGGTCCGCACTGGGCTTCAGAGACCCATGGTGGGGTTTAAAAAATTAAATGCACATTTCTGGAGCTCAGATCACCGTCAGAACCAGGTCAGAACCGACCACCAGAAGAGACGCGGGCCAGTGGAGCTGGTTTCCGGGTCGGAACCAGATCAGAACCACCGCCTGGACCTCCAGGAAAGGATCATGTGCAGCTTTTAAAAATACTAGCTGGACTGGCTCGCTGGTGTCTGGGTCGGATCCAGCTCACAGAAGCCCGCTTGAGCTCCAGAACCGGATGACAGGCGTCTTTCTCCCTCTCTCTAAGCGCTAAACTACGCTAGGTGAACGGATATTAACGAGTATGAGACCGCTGACAGACGCTCATTAGTATTAATATTATATTAACTGACCGATACAATTGTAATTGTCTGGAACACGATAGTAATCTGTACAATGTTGTGATGCTAGCACACGAGTTTAAGCTAGCATCGTTAACTCACCTGCTATTCTCCTCACATCGCAGCACAATCTCTCTACTTTGGCCGATGATTTCTCCCTCTGGTTTGTCTCTGCTCTCTGGGGCGAGCAGCAAACTCATAACTTTATGGTTTTGGTCCATCAGAAGGAGAATTATAAACATTTACAGTTTCCTCTGTGTCAGAGCCGCATTAGAATCCATGTTTTTCTCTGGATTAAGCTAGCAGGACTCCCTCAGCTGATGTCACTTGGTTTGGCAAAAAAAAAAAACATTAACCTTTCTCACAAAAATGACTCTAAAAGCCTAAATAATTTACGTTTGTGGAAAAAACTGTTCAAAAAGAGTTTCTATTATGTTTCTCTAAACATTGCTTCACAGAGTCTCTAACCTGCAGTTTGCTCTATACGTGGGCAGAAATGAACTGATCTCTCAAGACCATCGGAAGCAAAATCATTTTATTCTGCATGTAAATTTTCACAAAGGATGGTTTGTCAGGCTAATGAACCGATGTTGTCAGATGTGTCCTAGAGTTTTTATTCAGTTGGGAATGACTAAGTTGTATAAAATTCTAAGTAACGCCTAAGCTTAAAGAGTACAAAGGTGAACAACCCACCCAACAGGTTTGCTCAGTTACTCTCACTCTCATTACTTCTGGGTTTTACTTCTTTACTCAGTCATAAAGCGTTTTAGAATCAGGGACAGGAAGAAAACCTGCAATAAGTTCTGATCTGAAGGATACGACACCTGGAAGTCTTTGTGAGACCTCAGTCATTTTCTACCATGAGCTCTGATGACGTCCCCAAAGTGAAACAGGACACGAGACCTGATGGTAAATGTGGAAATAACCTCTCACTTCTAATACTTTGTAGGATCAAATTTACCTGCGGATATTAATAAAGTTACCTTGACCTTGACCTTGACTTTTTTTCCCTGTTTTTAAACATAATCTTTCTTTGTTACTTCTGGTCTTGTCATGTTGTGTCATCAAGTAACAGAAACTGTGTTAATGCCTAAAGAAGATCTGTATAAAACCAAATGAAAGACAGAGAAAGTATTATTGAAACAGTAATACAAGAACAATACATCTAGGAGCTGAGATTTATGTAACTGATTTAGTGTTTAGTCATTTGTTGCAAACAGAAAAAACCCACACTGATCAAACTGATTAGATTCAGGCAGTGAGGAAGCAGAGGCTTGGGACTTTAAGTTGGGCTCTCCAATCTCCGGTGCTGAGGTCACTAAGGAGGTCAAAAAGCTCCTAGATGGCAAGACCCCAGCTGGGTGAGTTCCTTAAGGCTCTGGATGTTGTGGGGCTGTGTTGGTTGACGCGGCTCTGCAGTATAACGTGGAAATTGGGGACATTTCCAGGATACAAGCTGCCAAAATGAGTTTTCTCTGCAGAGTGTCTGGACTCACCCTTAGAGATAGGGTGAGAAGCTCGGTCATCCGGGAGGGGCTCGGAGTAGATTCGCTGCTCCTCCACATCGAGAGGAGACAGTTGAGGTGGCTCGAGCATCTGGTCAGGATGCCTCTTGGACGCCTCCCTGGTGGGTTTCTATTATGGTGTTATGTGGCCTGACACCCTACATCAAAATTTCGGTTTGGCTAAACATGGGCATTAACTGATGATTTGTAAGTTTTTTTTTTACCTTTTCACGCAACTTTCCATCACATGTGGCTGCTAACGAGCAAGCTAAAACACAAAGGGGGCAGCCACAGCGGTTTATGGTCAGTGGAACAAATGTCAAAAATAAATGAAATAATAATTGTTTTATTGGTCACCTTCACAGAACCCTTGAGGATCATGCTTCTTGGGAAAAGTGGAGCAGGCAAGAGTTCAAGTGGGAACACCATCCTCAACAAAATGGTGTTTAAATCTGACATGAAGCTGAAGAGAGTCACGGTTGACTGTGAAAAGGAGGTTGGGATGGCTGAGGACACGCCTGTCGCTGTCATCGACACACCTGGGCTTTTTGAGAAGGACCGAGACAAAGAGGTCATTGTTCGAGAGATTCTGAAGCGTGTGAAGCTGCAGGAGCCAGGCCCTCATGTCTTTGTGTTTGTGGTTCCTCTGGGAAGGATGACGCAGGAGGACCAAGACACCCACATGCTGATTGAAGCCAGGTTTGGCCCCCGAGTGTGGGACTACACCATCGTCCTGTTCACCCACGGAGACCGACTGGAAGGAACAACAATAAATGACGTCATCATGGAAAGTGGCGACAACCTCCGCAGCTTCATACGTAAGTGTAGTGGTGGCTTCCACGTCTTCAACAACAAAAACTCCGAGGACCAGACGCAGGTGGTGCACTTAATGGAGAAGATCCAGACCCTGGTGGCCTTGAATGGAGGCGGTCACTACCACGCCCAGCTTTATCCACATCAGGAGAGGCTGATCAGGGAGAGACAGCTGAGCATCCTGGCAGAGAGAAGTGAAGCTATCAATACCAAAGAGAGGGACCTCCAGAATCATCACCAGGGAGAGGAACTCAACATGAAGATCAGGGAGCTTTGGAGACAAGAGGAGGAGAACGCCAGAAGAGCTGCAGAGAAAAAGTTTAGAAACAACAAGATTCTGAAATTCACTTTGCTGCCGGTATTTGGGTGGCTGTTGTTTGGCAGAGCTTTCAAAGTTCCCGATAAATACCAGATAACTGTTGCAGTCATCTGGACAGCATGTACATCAAAATATCTTCAACTTTTCTAAGTGGAATATTCTGGTTTTCAAAGAAAAAACGACCGCTAGCATAAGTCTTATTGACCACCTGTGAGAATTAAAGTGTAAGGCTTGTCTTCGGCACTCAGACAACAGTTCTGATTGCTTCACAGCTGGACAGGACAGTAAAAAACAGACACGTTCATCTTGACCTGCGACGGGGAGGGCTGTTGTTGGTTTAGCGTTCAGGAAACAGCAGAACGTCTCGGCTAGTAGCAGCTAACTGTTAGCATTAGCAACTCCACAACACGGCAGAACTCCTTCAGGCTTGAGTTATTAGTGGATGATAAGAACATCAGCGTTGCAGAGCAAACAGAGACAGTGGTAGAGTCAAATTGCTTTTAGCCAATCAGAGGAGAGATGTTATGGAGATGTTAAGGAAATAAGATCTTCATCCTGCCGTCTGAGGCTACTTTCTGGGTGTTTCCAAATGCCAAAGAACCTTGCCTTGATGTCTTGGCCCCGCCCAGGTTGCCTAGGAGATACGTCATCGGGAGCCGCCAAGACGTCTTCCAGTCGAATGCAATGTTCACCTTCAACTGAGGAGTGTGTTCTCCATTTGTTAGCCGTTTAGCTAGCTGAGCGAGGATACACGGGAGGTGTCTTGTAGCCTAGCCTTGGTCAAAAATTACCCACAATACACAGCGGTATTTTCAAAAGGACAGTGGATCAGAAGCCAGCAGCTACTTCAGGGACAATTTTCAAGTTTAAAAGTAAGTCAGCTAATTTAAAATGTTTTTTTAGATCCAAAGAAGTTATCTATTGGTTAGTTGCTTAGTAGTTGCAGCTCCGGTGGCTAGCGGGTAGTAACTCACTTATATTTTGAATTTAATAAACATATACACAATTTAAAATGTAAAAGACTCGTATAATTATATTGAATCTAATATGTATAAAATATAATGTTATCTCCCGTGTCATGTGACGTTACGTGACCGCCGTGGAAGCCACGGTAACGTGATGCAAGTCTGTTCCACTTAACTGTTTTCTTTGACCAAGGAAGGGCAGTGTCCTCGTAAGCAAGGTGCCTTGACATTGAGAAACACCCCCTGTTCCAGCTGACTTGTACTTCATCTTTGTTGTTGTTTACTGTCACTTCTTGTTTCTGTGAAAAAAGTTGTTCTCTCAAGCTGCTGGAGTGAATTTAGCAGAATGGAAAAGTTAAGACTGTTGCTAATGCTCCTGTTTTTCCTCTTTAAAGCGGTATGAGTGTCTGGATGACTTTTTCTTTGATTCTCTGGTTTAGAACCTGCAAAGGTGAGACTTAAAATGACCTGTTTCTTTTTGAATGAAGTCTAAGTTGGTGAATAAACTATTTTACAATAAGGAAACAGAGTTTGTTGGTGAGTGTTCATTTTAAGCTGTAATCAGTAGCTGAACTCTGACTCATTCACTCACAAATTCATGTATCTTTAAGGGCGTGCTTGTATACATTTATGATTTCCTAGAATTCACTTTTGAAGTCGGTAGCAGTAAGTTGTTGCATTGCTTGGCCAACCTGACAATGATTTGTTTAATTTTACTGTGTGTTGGGGACTGATACCTACTGCTTATGAACTTGCTGGAAGAAACAGCATGAAAACACACTTTTCTGCCTTTAAACTCCAGGACCGTGGCCCATAACCTGTGGAACCAGAAATGGCTTTCTGCATGTAGAAAGATTGAAGAGAGGTAAGCAGAAAAGAAAGCTAATTTTCGTCGTCATCTTCCTCCACTTATCCGAGTCCGGGTCGCGGGGGCAGCATCCCAACTAGGGAGCTCCAGACCGTCCTCTCCCCGGCCTTCTCCACCAGCTCCTCCGGCAGGACCCCAAGGCGTTCCCGGACCAGATTGGAGATGTAACCCCAGATTGGAGATGTAACCTCTCCAACGTGTCCTGGGTCGACCCAGGGGCCTCCTGCTGGCAGGACATGCCCGAAACACCTCCCCAGGGGAGGCGGCCAGGAGGCATCCTGACCAGATGCCCAAACCACCTCAACTGGCTCCTTTCGATCCGGAGGAGCAGCGGTTCTACTCCAAGTCCCTCCCGAATGTCCAAGCTCCTCACCCTATCTCTAAGGCTGAGCCCGGCCACCCTACGGAGGAAACTCATTTTGGCCACTTCGGTCATTACCCAAAGCTCATGACCATAGGTGAGGACTGGGACGTAGATCGACTGGTAAATCGAGAGCCTGGCTTTCTGGCTCCGCTCCCTCTTCACCATGACAGATCGGCTCAGCGTCCGCATCACTGGAGATACTGAACCAATCCGCCTGTCAATCTCCTGATCCCTCCTACCCTCACTCGTGAACAAGACCCCGAGATACTTAAACTCCTCCACTTGAGGTAGGACCTCTCCCCCGACCCGGTGTTGGCAAGCCACCCTTTTCCTGTCGAGAACCATGGTCTCAGATTTGGAGGTGCTGATCCTCATGCCAGCCGCTTCACACTCGGCCGCAAACCTACCCAGCAAGAGCTGAAGAACAGAGCTGGATGAAGTTAGGAGAACCACATCATCCGCAAAAAGCAGAGACGAGATTCTCCTGCCACCAAACTTGACACACTCCACACCACGGCTGCGCCTAGAAATTCTGTCCATAAAGGTAATGAACAGAACCGGTGACAAAGGGCAGCCCTGGCAGAGTCCAACCCTCACTGGGAACAGGTCCAACTTACTACCGGCTATGCGGACCAAACTCACGCTCCTCTGGTAAAGGGACTGAATGGCCCTTAACAGAAAGCCACCCACCCCATACTCCTGGAGAGTCCCCCACAGGGTGCCTCTGGGGACACGGTCATAAGCCTTCTCCAAATCCACAAAACACATTAGGACTGGTTGGGCAAACTCCCATGCCCCCTCCATCACCCTTGCAAAGGTATAGAGCTGGTCCACAGTTCCACGGCCAGGAAGAAAACCACATTGTTCCTCCTCAATCTGAGATTCAACTATCGATTGGACCCTCCTCTCCAGTACCTTAGAGTAGACCTTTCGAGGGAGGTTGAGGAGTGTGATCCCCCTATAGTTGGAATACACCCTCAGGTCACCCTTCTTAAAGATGGGGACCACCACCCCGATCTGCCACTCCACAGGTACTGCCTCCGATGACCACGCAATGTTGCAGAGACGTGTCAACCATGACAGCCCTACAGCATCCATAGCCTTGAGATACCCAGGACAAACCTCATCTGCCCCCGGGGCTCCGCCACTGTGTAGTTGTTTGACTACCTCAGCAACTTCTGCCCCCGAGATAGGACAGTCCATCCCCAGCTTCCTCCTTGGAATGCGCATTGGTGGGATTGAGGAGCTCCTCAAAGTATTCCTTCCACCGTCCGACTATAGCACCAGTTGACGTCATTAGCTCCCCATCCCCACTGTAAACAGTGTGAGCGAGTTGCTGCCTTCCTCTCCCGAGGCACCGGACAGTTTGCCAGAACCTCTTTGGAGCCGATCGATGGTCTTTCTCCATGGCCTCACCAAACTCCTCCCACGCCCGAGATTTAGCCTCGGCAACTGCCACTGCTGCACCTCGCTTGGCTATCTGGTACCTGTCTGCTACCTCCGGAGACCCACAGACCACCCACGCCCTGTGGGCCTCCTTCTTCAGCCTGACGGCTCCCTGAACCTCTGGTGTCCACCAGCAGGTACGGGGGTTTCCACCACGACTGGCACCGGCCACCTTGCGACCACAGCTAGCAACAGCCGCCTCACCATTCGCAGCATTGGCTGAACAAGGCCCACTCGGAGTCAATGCCCCCCACTGCTCTCGTGATGTGGTCAAAGCTCTGCCAGAGGTGGGAGTTGAAGACCTTCTTAACAGGTTCTTCTGCCAGGCATTCCCAGCAGACCCTCACTATGTGTTTGGGTCTGCCAGGTCTACGCGGCATCTTCCCCTGCCATCTGATCCAACTCACCACCAGGTGGTGATCAGTTGACATCTCCGCTCCTCTCTTCACTCGGGTGTCCAAAACATACGGCCGCAGGTCAGATGATATGACGACAAAGTCTATCATCGAACTGCGACCTAGGCTGCCGTGGTACCAAGTGTACCGATGGGCATCCTTATGTTCGAACATGGTGTTCATTATGGCCAAACTGCAGCTTGCACAGAAGTCCAATAATAAAACACCACTTGAGTTCAGATCAGGCAGGCCGTTCCTCCCAATCACACCCCTCCAGGTCAAGCTGTCATTGCCCACGTGAGCATTGAAGTCCCCCAGCAGGACGATGGAGTCCCCTGATGGAGCACTATCTAGCACTTGTCCCAGGGACTCCAAAAAGGGTGTGTACTCTGAACTGATATTTGGCCCATAAGCACAAACAACAGTCAGGACCCGTTCGCCGACCCGAAGGCGCAGGGAAGCTACCCTCTCGTCCCATGGGGTAAACCCCAACACACAGGCAGAGAGTCTTGGGGCTAACAAAAAGCCAACCCCAGCCCTCCACCTCTCTTCCGGAGCAACTCCAGCTAAGGAGAGTGTCCAACCCCTCTCAAGGACTTGGGTTTCAGAGCCAATGCTATGTGTAGAGGTGAGTCCGTCTATATCTAGCCGGTACCGCTCAACCTCTGCATGGCCGCCATCACCGGATCCCTCAGCTTTTGTTTTTTACTATAAACTTTTACTTTAAAAGATAATTTTTTTATCTGTCCTGAAAATAAAGTCATACAAATAAAAATACAACATTTATCATTTTATGTTCAGATTGACAGTAAATAATTAAACACCCTTTTTTTAAAATAGGTAAACACATGATGGAAAATCTGTTTGATTAAAATGAATAAAACTTATTGCAGCATTAATTAAAGCTGCATTAAGTTTTATTAATGATAAATAAATAAATAAATAAATTAATTAATTAATTAATTAGAACTATAACAACAAAGTAAAAAAAAATAATCATGGCCATGGAAACGGAATCTACCAGCATCAGCTTCCTTTGATGATGTCATAAAGGACAAACACACAGCAGACCCACAGACAGCTTCATTTGCACACTGGCTTTAGACCTGAGCACACCTACGATGGCTACTGGTGGACCACACGTGGACAACCTGGAGGTATTTTCAGACATACTTAAAGTTGAATTTGAACAAAAGAATGAGCTTTTACAAAGAGACTTACGAGATCTGGAAGCCAGAAAACTACTTTTTGGTGACCAGAAACGCGACTTTCAACAAATGGTGGATGCGTTTGAGAAAAAGATAGCTTGCATCAGGGAAAGTCTCCGGAAGGAAAAAGATAAACTGGAAACAAAAACACAGGATCTGGAGAAACGAGAACGTCACTTTGAGGATCAACAAAAGAAACTAACGAATCACGTTGATGAACTAAAGACAAACTCTCAGGAAGGAAGAGATCATTTAGTTTCAACTCAGTTTCTCGACGAACACAGAGTAAAGATTGAGCTGGAAGACAGGGAACAGCAGAAACAAGGACAAGAAATTCAGGATGAGTGGAATAAGATTAAAGAAACTCAAATTGCTAATTGTGAGTCGAACGAAATCTTCAATGAGACAAAAGAGGAAGTCGGAGATTTATGGAAAGCTTTACAGGAAAGCAAAGAGAGATCAACAGAAGAAAATAATAACCTGAAAAGAGATCTGGAAAGACAGAAATTAGAGTTTATTGAATTTAAGGAACAAACAGAAAGGGAGTTAACAGCAGAGAAGCAGACTCTCCGCGATGAGAGGGAGCGTTTAAATGCTGGGAAAATGACTCTACAGTACCAGATCGTTGAGTTTGAGCAGAAACAGACCGAATCAGAGCAGATCAGACAGATTCTGCTCAAAGAGAAACTAGATGTTCAACTTCTGAGAGAAAATCTGCAGGAGGACAAAATGGAGTTTGTGGAAACAGCAGAAGAAATCCAGAAAGATTTCAACAAAAGTCTAAATGATTTGAAGGAGAAGCTGGAATTTCTGAGTGTTGAGAAGAGAAGTCTGGAGGAAGAGAAGCAACGTTTCCTGATGACTAAGTCAGAATCAGAGATGGAGCAAGGGAGGATTTACGAAATCCTCCAGGAAGAATTAGACAATTTGCATCTGGGAAAACAAAGTCTGGAAACACAAGTGATGGACTTTAGGGAAGAGATTGCTGCAGCAGGTAAGATCTTAGAAGAGAAGGAAACGGCTCTAGAAGAAGGGCTGGAGGGTCTGAGACTTCAGAGAGAAACTCTGGAGGAAGAAAAGACAAATTTCCTGTTAACAAAGTTCAGATGGGAGGAGGAGAATGAAGAAATACAGGCTTACCTCCAACAAGAGCTGAAAAGATTACGAGCTGGGCAACAGAGTCTAGACAAACAGATGACGGACTCTGAAGAGAGAAACATAAATCCAGAGCCGATCATTCAGGACATCCAACGGGTTCTTCAGGAAGAGAGAGACAGTTTAGTAACACTCCGACAAAACCTGGAGGAAGAGAAGCAACGTTTCCTGATGACTAAGTCAGAATCAGAGATGGAACAAGGGAGGATTTACGAAATCCTCCAGGAAGAATTAGACAATTTGCATCTGGGAAAACAAAGTCTGGAAACACAAGTGATGGACTTTAGGGAAGAGATTGCTGCAGCAGGTAAGATCTTAGAAGAGAAGGAAACGGCTCTAGAAGAAGGGCTGGAGGGTCTGAGACTTCAGAGAGAAACTCTGGAGGAAGAAAAGACTAATTTCCTGTTAACAAAGTTCAGATGGGAGGAGGAGAATAAGGCAATACAGGCAAAAGAGCTGGAAAAATTCCAAATTAGGCAACAAACTCTCATCAAACAGATGACGGACTCTGAAGAGAGAAACATAAATCCAGAGCCGATCATTCAGGGCATTCAATGGGTTCTTCAGGAAGAAAGAGACAGTTTAGTAATGCTCCCACAAAACCTGGAGGAAGAGGAACTAGAGTTTATGGAAACAAGGGAAGCAGAAAATCATCTTTTAAAGGAGAAACAACGAGCTATGGAAGAAGAGGTTGAACTTTTGACTCAAGAGAAAATTATTTTTGAAGCGAGAATGGACGACACTGATAAAAAAATTGGAAGAATT